CGTTCGTACTTTCATAGTTAGAAAAAATATGAACAAGCTAAAAAATGTATGAGTGCTATTATAGTTATTTATTATACAAGCGGTTAAAGTGAATGTTTAATGAGCGGTCAGTTTAAGGCGAGAGCGGCGTATGCCGCGAGCGCCTTAAGACCACGAGTTACACATTCATTTTAACCGCGAGTGTAATACAAAATTTTATTCAATTTTGACAACCCCAAGTCCCAAATTGTGAAAAATTGTGTGATTCAAAGTTCAGACTCGAGAAACGTCAGAATTGACAGCGACCAAATAAAAGTTTTATATGCGTAGAATTTAGTGTACAATATCAGGTGTGTGTGTGTAGTATGTGACTCTGGCGACGGTGTTTGTTTATTTTAAACAAACTAAAATTATCGAAAAATTGCAAAATCATGCAAGATTCTAACGACAAAACTTGTTCCCAGAAAAGACCAGATCAGAAAGTGTATCAAAAGTTCTTTAGATGGAAAGAGCAGCAAGACACTGGAGAAATTACAGAAATGGTAACCATGGTTTTAAAACAGCAAAATAAAAATTTTATTTCGCTAGCGGTTTAAAAATTTTATGGTGCTACCGGATAAACCAAAGCTTTAGTGGCCTACTGACGGCAAAATAAACGTTTGTTTACATGTCAAAATTGAATAAATTAAATTTATATATTTTTTAAATGTGAGTGAATGATTATATTGTATTGTATTGTGTATTCTGTCGCCGCAGGACTCGCAGGAGGGGGTTGCACTTCACACGTCTTGGTCGGACCCATTTTGAGGTTATATCTGGTTATGTTTTCAACCCAAACAGTGAGGTGGGAGATCTCCCACCTCACTGAACCCAAAGCAAGGAGGTTTAAGTGTATATATGTATTTATATTCAATGTCTCTGACCCGAAGTGTCAAAATTCTAGTTTTACTAGTTACATTCCAAGGTTAGTTAATAGAGAATCTATTAAATGACTTTGTTACATTCTCCTAAAAGTTTTCACTAAACAGGGTAGCCACTACAGTATTTTGCAAATTTTTAAGCGTTCAAGGGCAAAATGATTGAAATCGACTATTTGGATTCTTGAATTAAAGACTATATTCATTTGTTAGTGGTGGGACAGTGTCTTGTCTGTGTAGTCTGTGCTAAGGTTATCAAATATGTTGAAAATATCATAGCAAAACTATTACCTTTCTATTGAATGTATGTATGTATGTATCGTTCCTATTGTTCTTAAAAAAGATTATGCCCATTTTTAAAAAAGGGGACAAAATATATGTAAATAATTATCGCCCCATCTCTCTTTTTTCAGTGATTTCGAAATTTTTTTCAACAAACTGTTAAAGTAAAATTAATTAATTACATGGAAAAGCACAACTTTTTTTCAAAATCGCAATTTGGATTCAGGAAAAATAAAAATACTACTCTAGCTCTATTGGATCTTGTAGAAAATGTTTTTGATTATTTTGACAATAAATTTTTTGTATCAGCAACGTTATTCGATCTCTCGAAAGCGTTTGATTGTGTCGATCATGACATTCTCTTGTATAAGTTAGAATATTACGGCATACGTGGTAATACAAATGCATTTTTTAAATTTTATCTGCGAGATATAACCCAAATAGTTTCAATAAACAATAAAACTTCTAGCAGTCACGTGATTGCAAAGATGTCAAATATAAGACTAGATAGAGAATTGTGGTAGATCATTTGTGCGCGTTCAAAGACTGAAGGCTAACAGATCCGGCTTCGAATTTGTGCAAATGTTCTTACCCGATACTTTTAACGAAACAACGCACACTGCAAGATACATATTTATTTTTCTTTATTGTAATAAATTTGTTGAAACACAAACAGTGGGATCAATACTTGATTTGCACAGAAAAGTACAATTAATTGAATATATACTATATACTTTGTTTTCATATTAAAATTTCCAAGTTCGTCCCTGCGTCTCACGACAGGTAGCAAGCGGCAAGCGCAATGATATTTACAATCATTGTGGTTTCTTCTCAATGGAATTAGTTGGCTTTTACACAAAACTGTAGAAGATATGTTTTACTATACTTGTGGTTTATAAGGCCGCCTTGAGTTTTTAGACATCCAAATTTCCGAAAAAAATCAAAATTGTATAATAAGCTTTTGTACTACTATAAGGTGTTAATAAATGATCTACATCTAGTGGGCTATGAAATTCATTTATTAATTAGTTTATCAATTAATTGTCAAACTTTGAGTCAAATTTTACACATTTACTGAATTCAAGCACAAAGCGTACGAGAAAATGTGGAATCATATCTCGACACTAACGCAAAGGTCGCGCGTTCGAATCGCTCATGGGATTTTTTGTTTTTAAACTATGACTGTATTATTTACATTTTTAACCCTTTTAGGGCTGAATTTTGGTAAAATTTTCATGCACTGATTTATTACAAGAATAAACACCCCCAAATTTTTCTTATATTATTATTTCATTAGAAATTTTATTAAAAAGTGTGGGCCATATTCGCTTTTGCATTTGTCATTTTTTGAAATTTATGAGAATGTTTAATTACCAACATTCTAAATCTTTTGCAAGGATGACTCTATTATAAATTATGTTGGTCGTCCGATATATGCCAACAATACAAATTAAATTTTATTTATATTTGAAAAATTTTTAAATAAATTTATAATTATTTCATTTAGTTTAGTTTAGTTAGTGAAAGATGTCCATTGACAAATATTTATATACGAGTATGTTCTTTGTTTTCATTCCTTAATGGGTACTAATGGTTGCGTCAGTCTTTACTTAATTTAGTAGGTATTTCAGGTTCAGAGGTTCAGTTTATGTCTGATGAGAAAATTAAAGTCCTAATAAGCGTTGAAAGCAAGTGATTAAGGTAACAAAATCATTTTAGAAAAATATTTTCGTATACCTACCTATTTATGGTTCTTGATCAAGAATGCAATTACGTTTAATTAGTTTTATCAGAGTTAAACACCTGTTAGTTGATGTAGTAAGAAAATCGTGTTCGTATTTGCGAATACAATAATTAAAACTGGTATTTTTTAAACCTTATAGGAATATCGTGTACTGTACAGATAAATAATTCTTACTATTAAGTTACGGTGATTAATATGGGAGTATTATTTTCTTATGACTTCCCCGCGATTAAATTAAAATAAATAAATGCATTTTTAACGTTTGAAATGCCGGGTTTATGGTTCAAACAGCGTTAATAAATCCTATATGGGACATTTCAATGACAAAAAACCGCCATGACTAACTCAATTGATTTATTTGTTTGATTTTGATTTTTCAAGAGACACATTTAGCTGTAAAATGTGACCTTGTCATGATACGTACTCATGACGAAAAACGGGCAAAATCTATCCTTCGGTAACTTGTAAAGTTTTGTTTTCTCCGCCAAAGTAAAAATAAACATTTTTTCTTGGTATTTCCAGATTATCACAGCATTGTTTAATTTATCTATTTATGTTACCAAAGTTAAATCAATATTTACAAAACATACCTTCCTAATTTGAATAACGTGTTCTCACGCAAAGTGGCCATCGATAACTTCTGACCATCAGATGTACCTAATACGAGTTCTGATATTTTCGCCTTAAACTTTACAACTATACTTAGTCATATTTTAGCTGATGCACTTTATTATTGGTTTCACGATTTTTAATAAGTAAATTTCAAATGTGAGAAATGTCATCATTCACTGGCATGAATTTGTTAGTTTGCAACGTTTCAACTCAAAATGTACAATAATTTTCTGTACAGGCATACTGAAAATTATATTTTTTGTGAAAATGTCTTGTTAGAAAACTTGTTTACTTCGAACTACGTTTGTATGAAACAAAATAATAACAGATAATGGGTATTGTTTACATGAGTATTCAAATATTCACCGATAATCTGGGTGTAATGTGACTAACAGCCGTATTAGTTGCTCTGAGAGTTATGACTGACGTCACAAATATTACAAAAAAGTTTGCTTTTACAAGGTCGAATGTTATAGCAGATATTCCACCTAATTTAAATAGTGAATAATGTTGAACAAACGTTATTTCTTTTTCTTTTTTTTGACTGGCCTGTCGATAAAGATCATCGATCTACAAAATATTCAACTACAGAAAGTTTCCAGTGAGTTTCAAATTATTAGCAAACAAATTTTGACCATAAGCTACTGACTTAGAACAACATTTAAATTGATAATGATAGACAATTCCGCATAAATTTTCTAAAGTTATTTGTCGGTGGTGGACAACTGTTAGGAAATTTACCACATCCGGGATAGTTGTGATGGTTTATGTCATATGTTATGTGTACAACAATATAACAAGGAACAAATAAAAACTAGTTTAAATGCCATCACTTCGGCCAAGTCACCGCGATTACATGACTTAATTTTAATTTATTGTTATTTTTATTTTTAAATAAACAGATTACTCTTCCGCTATTTAAAAAACTTGTGGAAGTGTGTGGGATTTTTCACTAAGAGACCATTATTGACCTAGTTGACATATGTGGTTATAGCTACATATCTTCAAATATAATGGTAGGTAATGGTAAAGGCATTTCTTACAACAATAAACACAAGACTGCGCAATAAAATGTACATTAGCTGGTCCGCAAATCAATTGTCACTTAACAGACAAAAGTAAACTAACTCTGTGTTTTCGTAATGTTGTCGTTCAGATTGTGCATTCCGTTTAATTTATCCGAGCGCATTAAATTTTGCTCAAGCAGTGTATCTAACAAACAGGTATCAGTACCAGAAAGATCACTGAAACAATAAACCTCCTAACCCATTGTTGTGAAAACTAGCCAACCCATGCTTAAAATTCTGCTCACGAAGAGCATAGCCTTTCTCAATGTTATAGGAAGTAAGTACGACGAACCGTCTTTATCCAGATCCGGCCTCGGTCCATTTCCATATACGTTTCATGCACACATAGAAATCCAGCCAACCACATAACTGATAAAATTTAATTAAATTGCGGTACCTCCAACGGTCGACAAGGCCGTCCCTGCTCACTGCAGAGAACGTCGAAGTCGAGAGAAACTTATTTGCTTAACACACATGTTCTAATAGTTTTAGCGAACGGACGTAAATTGCGAAGTGATGTGTATCGAGACTTCACAAAACCACAAAACTTAGTGAACCGCGAAAGTACTGTGATGTGAAGATGTGATAATGACAGGGATCGAAGGTAAGAATATTTTCGGGAAGAATTCTAACAGGGTGCAGCACAGACAAGTTCAATAACATTATTTGCTCAGTGCGGTGGGTAAATATTACGTATGCTTAGATCTAACTTTGGCAGTTAGTCACACTACAATAACAACAATTTTTTGCAGCATGATCAACGATGTACATCGTTATCACCTTGCTGGTGGTGGGTTTCGCTGCAAGGTCTTTCGAATCCTGCCCTGAAGATTTCTGCCCTGCTTTGTGGACCAAAACAACTACACCATCGCAAGAAAGTGAATCCGTATTTTTGGGGGAAGACAAAGAGAGTGGGTGCAGGTGTAGGGAATATCCCGGAAGGTACTCGTTTTGTTTTGGAAGAGCTACATGTCATGCATTTCCAAAGAACATCACTTTTAACACGGATACGTTCCTGTTGAAAGCAACCCAAATTTTTGAAATTAAACCTGGAGATATGAAGTTAGTCACAGGGGTGACAACATTACAAATAGAAGCAAATTTTAACCTGAGTCGTATTGCATCGGGGACCTTTTTGGAAATGGTTGCGCTGAGAAATTTATCAATTTCTTACAATACGAATTTACGATTTTTGGAGAAAGGGTGTTTTGATGGTTTAGTGAATTTGGAAAAATTGAAGCTTGTCAAAAATGGTTTCGTGGAACTATCAGAAGTAACCCCCTCTTTAATTAAACTATCAAAATTAACTAAGCTGGAGCTGAGTGAAAATATCGTTAAAAAGATCACTGAACAAGACTTTCAATTTCTGAAGGATAGTCCACTGGAAGAACTGCATTTAATTTTGTGTCAGATTGAAGATATAGAACCTAAGGCCTTCAATTCACTTAAAAATTTGACGTCGTTACGATTGGGGGAAAATAATTTTAATACTACAACTCTTGCTCGAGTGATAGAAGAAACAGCAGGAAATGTGCCACTCAAGTTACTTAATTTATATGCAACAGGTTTACGGAAGAGTTCCTTAAAAGATCTACTACTAGCTATTGCTAAGACCAGCATTACCAGTTTGAGTTTGGCCAGAAATCAGTTTGAAGTTATAAGTGGCGAAACCTTCCCGAGAATGCCCAATTTGGAAATTTTAGACTTGAAAGAATCACTAGTATTAAACATAACAGACAACGCATTTGTTGGTTTACCTAATTTAAGAACTCTTTTGTTGAGTGGAAATAAACTGGCATCAATACCAGAAGGTGCCCTTCTTGAGCAGCTAACATATCTAGATCTACAACTAAACTCGGGCGACGCGTTCTCAGCTACATATTTTTCTCTTTATGGTGAGAAATTCGTCAATATGAAAAAATTGAAAAGACTGAACTTGAGTTTCAACACAATCCACGCACTCTATAACACTAGTTTTAAGGGTTTGGAAAATTTAGAGATTCTAGCTCTTAAAAATGCCACCATATATGTTATTGCCAATGGGAGTTTTGCTGATTTGCGCAATCTGTTGTTTTTAAACCTCGAGCATAATCTTTTCATGAAAAATCATCCATTGGCGTTAAATGAAGATATGTTTAAAGGTCTGCAAAACCTTCGTGTTCTTTTATTAGGAGGATGTGGTATTACATTCATTGATAGAAAAGCAAGTCCTTTTAAAAATCTGCAAAAGTTAAGACATTTGGGCTTAGAACATAACAAATTGATTATCCTTCCAAGTTTTGAAGTTTTGGTGAATTTAAGAACGATTGATGTATCTGGAAATAGTCTGCAGCCTTGGCAGATTTCAATTTTCTACAAAAATAGTAATTTAAAAGATGTGAGAATGAGCGGAAATAAATTTGCCTACTTGACCAATGCCATGGTTGAAGATTTCAAAAATCTAACGCATTTGGAAATAAAAGACAACCCGTACACTTGTGATTGTTCTTTAAAATGGAACGATGAAAGAATAATGAAACTAATAGACAACGAAACCATTTTATGCGCCTTCCCAGACACCACAACGACTTTAACGGTGAAGGAGTTCCTCCAAAATAACTATCACTGCCAAAATTGGACTCTAGTGGTTCCTCTTGTGTTTTTAATCATTTTTGGTGGTGTCACTATTTTCAGCTTATACTATTTTCGTTGGCATTTGAGATACTGGCTCTTTCTGACCCGTTTGCATTTAAGTAGGAATCGAAAAATCAGAAGAAATACTGAAGTCAAAGGCTATGTTAACTACATGTACGATGCTTTCGTCTCGTATAGCAACGAAGACAGAAATTTTGTGATAAGGTTAGTAACAATGCTTGAAAATTACCCACCCTACATTAAGCTGTGCGTGTACGAACGGGATTTTGAAGTTGGTACTTTGATCTCTGAGAATGTGCTAGAGAATGTGGCCAAAAGTCGAAAAACCCTCTTAATTATCAGTAACTCGTATGCTAAATCGCAGTGGTGTCGCTGGGAGAGCCAGATTGCGGAGCATCATAGGCTCTTTTTACAGAATGAAAATGGAGAATATGTGGACGACAGTTTAATTTTGATAAAACTAGGACCTGTTAATGAAACGCATATGACCCCTACGCTCAAGTACCTGCTCAAAACTAGAATTTATCTGCAATGGGATGTCGACGACAAAAAGCAAAAAATCTTCTGGGAGAAGTTAAGGGAAGCTTTAGCACCACCAAAAGAAGTTAATGAAAATACGTATTTGTGATAAAATGTGTATACATGCACTTGGATTTTTTATTTTTTACGTTTATGGTATTAAAAATAAAATGTTTGCTCTTGTAAAAACGGCCTAACTAAATGTATATATGTACATATATTTTTCTATATATTCTACTTTTTTTATTTAGAAAGAGAGATGACAAGAGGATAAAAAATGGAAGAGAGGTAACGTGTGGTTCAAGTAAATGCGCCGCTGGTGTAAATTACACTGTTAGTTTTAAAAGTGAGATTAGTGTTATCTATAAAGATGAGTGTTAAAGCAGCGACTAAATACTTTAACAGTGTATGTTGTAAATATTATATGCTTTCTGTAAATCAAATTACTGTTTATTTATCACAATGAAGGCGAAATTTGCTTACGGGATTAAGTGTTTTAAGTCTAAATAGAAATAGAGCAAAATATTATGCCTGGTTTATCAAGCGGTCCTCCTTTAGCTGAAACACTCCGCAGAATACTACCGAAGAAACTTAAAGCAGCCAAAGCTGAGTTTCAGTATACAAGTCTTGAGCCATGACTTTTTTTATATATTTTGTTTAACGTAGTTGTGTATAATGTGTTCATGTACCTCTGATTCATACAATCTTTGTTCCTTTCAGGAAACCAATCGGTTGTATTATCATTACCATCAATCCTAAGTGGTTTATTGGTGGCTTTAAATAACTCAATATTCACCTTATGGTGGACTCTACTTTACCTTAATGTAGCTTCCATGTAGAGAATGCAGTCTACAGGAAAAAATTTCTCCGTGAGATTATTATTAAGAATCGTTTTATTAAATATTAATTTATTGCTCTTCGAACAGCATTGCTACCACGCCCATTACAATTTATTAAATAGAAAATATTTTTTATTGCTCTGTGGAATGAATTATGGTTCTATATAAAAAAAGACAAGGTTTACAACGAATACTTTATATAAAATTCTCGCATTTCTCAGCTATTAAAATTCTTAGAGATTCATGTGATACGTTACTTCCGAAATAGGTAGTAGTATATTTTTATAAAAACTAACACACGTATTGCGTGTTTATTACATATATTTCAAAAGCTAATTAATACATATAGTATTCTTATAGAATATGCGTATTTTCTATATTTTGATAATTCATATATTGTACTAAAATAGGTATCAAATTGCGCTAATGTAGTTACGCTAGTGTAAATTAGAAAACCCACGCCGAGGAAGTACCAAAATTTGGGCTGTATTGTGTAACCTATTATTTCTTAGTTAATATTTGAGCAAATGCTACTAAATTTTACAGAAATTGAATTTAATGTGGCGAATCTATTAATTTATGCCGTGCTAATAGACCTAAAAGCATTTTAGTACTAATATCAATTAACACGTAACCATCGCATTTGCGGTTTGGTTTGGGGACCGATAAAATGTTAAATAGTGGTTGACAGCATTAATATTGTTTAAATTATTCTTATTGATCAATTTTCGGTCAATTTCGTGAATGATGCGATATTTACACCAAATTGTTTATTATTTAGGTGTTTTGTTAAGCCCTTGCTTTTGCTCAACCAACGTGCACAAAATAGGTAAATATTCTTGCAAATTAGATATAATTTAATATTTAAGTAACGAGTGTCAAAACACCACTCCACGTGTTTCCATTTTACTTTATTAGATTACAGTTATTTAATAAAGTAAAATAATATAATGCGAAAAGTAAACAGGTTTCTGTAACGGTAGCTTTAGTCTACTCTGTTTTTGTCCCATCCAATATCAAACACTTGCACTTGGTAAAGTAGTCCTAGAATTTTTTTTTATGACAGTTTATCCATCACATGGTTTATCTACCGGTTGACGATTTTATTAGATATGACCTCGCTCTCACCTTCTGTATATAATTGTTCTTATATATTTGTGATTTATTAATCAGGCTTTACTTTGTATCAGAGATTTGGATTTTTGAAAAAGTAAAATTTTACAAAAAAAATGCAAGATTCATCTTGGAAATACAAAATGCTGTAATTGTAAATCAATAATCGAATATTATCCGTATATAATGGTGGTTTATCAACCGGCCCTCCTTTAGCTGAAACATCCCGTAGAATACTACCGGAGAAACTTACAGCAGCCAAAGCTGAATTTCAGTATGTGCTGCAGCTGCAGTCATTGGGCCAACCCGTTGCATCTGGTCATTGTGGATCAGGGACTGAATGGTGTAACGATTCCAGATAGATATCCCATGTCATCGCTGTTAATTACTAAATATTCTGTCTTGGCCAAGTTCATCTGCAGCCCTCATTTTTTATATACTTCATATCATGAACTCTAGGTCATACGAGTCTTAATCCATGACCACTTGATCATCTGCAAAACTAAGACACTCTTCTCTGTGCTGACCTAACTTTGAACTCAGCCATTTCTTGTAATAATAATTTTTTTGTGATTTTTTGATTTTTTCTTTCATTTCCTCGGACAGCCAATGGTGACCTAACTTTGCTTTCCCACATTCTGTTCCCACACTTCCATTACGACTTTGCTTATTTCCCCTTTGATGTTCTTTTTCAATTTCGTCATATTTAGGTGTATTAACTACTTCTTGCTCTAGTCTTTGCTGGAATAGTTCTTTATTGCTGTCTTGTTTTAGAAGAAATAGTTTATATCGTTCGTTGTTCACCTTGTTTTCAGAGACTTGATTTTGGTCGTTATTCTTGGTAATGTTCTTTCTAAATAGATAGATCATCTTATATATCACTAAATGATGATCAGAGCCACAGTTCGCACTTGGCTTCATTCTGCAATCATACAGTTTAACATTTGATCCTTGTCGGGTGTTTCTGTTGTCAATGATAGATTTTTGTTGTAGTGTGGGTTTTTCCCACGTATACTTGTGGATGTCTTTATGTTGAAATTGGGAGTTTAATATTCTTAATTCAAACTGACTACACAATAATTCAATAAGATCCCCTCCCCAGTCATTTACCATATTTTCTCCGTACTTCATTGTCTCTTGAACCAACTCTGACATTAAAATCGGCCAATATTTTGCTATCAGTAGAACTGATCTCTAACCTGCTTTACAGTGTCATTTGTTGACGCATATATTCGCATTATAATTGTTTTAATCCCAAATATGCCAAGAGTGACTGTAAGAATTCTTTCAGATATTAAATTATAATCTTTGATGCACTGCTGAAGATTTTTCCGTAACAAAAGAGAGACGCCTGCTCTTGCATGTTCGTGTTTATATACCAGAAGTGGACTTACTTTTTTAATCTCTTATTCGCTCTTCTTTTTTTTTGATCTATGACAGAGCAATTATGTCCATGCTTTGTCTGGTCATTTCATCCTCTATTTCGGTGTAGCTATTTGTTCGTTATGCCTTGAACATTCCATATACCAATTTTCACTAGTTATATTTCGTAGCCAATAATCGTCGCCTTTTTTTCCCATCCAAATTCCGGGGCTTAACTTTGGATTCTCGAGTAGGCATGTGGTTTTACAAGAGATGAGTCCTCCAACCTGGAGGACCAGAACTTTCTGTCAGGGTTTATTCCCTTAGACAATTTGTTCCAGTTTTAAGGCACCAGGAATTTGCGTTTCATCCTCTCTTCTTTGCTACGTAACATACACCCACTGTATGCTATATACCCAGAAGTGACGCGACCAGAATATGGTCTTCGAGAACGTGAGAGAAGGGTTTGTTGGTAGGGCTGCATTTGGTTTCCCGAATCTCAAAGTCGTTTGTCTGAATCCAGTGGGCAGACTCACAGTTAAGTTAAGTTGTGCAAATATCGCCAAATCAGTATTTAAAAACTTTATTCGAGAGTACATAGTAGTAAACCCGGTAAAACCCGGTGAAATCTAGGACATACCATTTCGCGGTATGGGGCCCGCCCGGCAACCGTCAAAGTGACAGAAATAAGCGATTTTCTGACATCCGAAATGGTAGAAGACTTGCACCGATTTCTCGGTAAGGTTAGTTTATCTATAGTCGATTCGAGAAAAAGGTTACCTGAAAAAAGAACAAAATACGAGTCGGATGGGCTACAGACACTGAGGATTGAATTCTCAAGTGCTGCTCCTTGTGATAATTTTTCATTAGGATGTTTTATTTATTTATTTGATGCCCATTAATGTATACAAATATTGCTTTCTTACATCTAAGCGTTTAGAGCCAGTGACTGTTATGTAAATAAATAAGCTTTTTGTTGTGGAGATTACTTCAGATTTACCTGATTCACTAGATACAATCTTTTTAGGAATTACCGTAAATCTAGAAAACGAAGAGGAGTTTGCATTATATGTATTTGACTTTGTAATGTCTAACTTAAGAGTATCACTCCAAACGTCGAGTCCTTCCTTATTCCTGAAAAATAGCTGCAAAATTATTAACTCTTGCTCTTGGTTGTTTACATTAAGGTCCATAAGCTGTTTAATACGTTGCCTATCTTAGCGAATGACTACAATATCTTCTCATTTATGTGGATTTTAATATGCCTGAATTGACTCACATCTACATCAAACTGTAACGGAACCAACTAGGTACAGAAACAATCAACGCCCGTATGTGCTAAATCTACTTCTCTCTTCCAATTCTGAACTAAGTGCTAATCTAGAATTTTCTTACCCCATCAATAAATCTGACCATATGATGATTTTGACGAATCTTCAAATCAACATACAGATTCCAAACGAAATAACGATTATCACAATTATATGTTAGAAAAAGACCTATTTGAAGTTGACTGGACATTAATTCTTAAGTGTGATACTATTTCCGAAAATTGAGAAGCGTTTAAATCCCAGTTCCAAGAACTTTAACTCTCCTTAACTCCACCCCTAGAATATTTATGAAGTCCACAAAAAACCTTGGATTAATGATCAGTTGATTAAAATAAACACAACTTTTTCAAATCAGTTAGCCACTAAAATTAAAGGTGCTAAATATTCCTATGAAGACACTCGTGACACTCTTGGAGGATCAGTTAGAAAACGGCCACAAAATGGCAAATATCTTTGCAGATACCTTTGTTGAGGCATACACTCTCGAACTATCTTCAAACTTCGTCGTGGTTTCCGCACTCCGATGTAATACCTACCTCTCAAACTAGTGTTGAGTTCTTTGAGGAAGTATACTAGACTCCGAAAGTTGAAGAAAACTATTTCTCCCGGACCTGACGACTTGTCCGCTGGCATTTTAAAAAAATGTGTTCCCTAAGTAACTAAGTTTTTGAGTCAAGTCATGTAGTAATCATTTATGAGCGGTGAATTGCCGAACGTTCAGGGAACAGCAACAGTCAAACCTATTTTTAAGAAAGGTAACCAACTTGACACCGGAAATTTTCGTCCGATCAGTTTAACGAGTCTTATTTGTAAGTTAATGGAATCCATTGTGTCTCATTTTGTGATGAAGTTCCTTTTTGACCATAAAATCATTCCAGCTGAGGAACACGGATTTGTGCCCAGCCGATCGGTATACCAATCTTCGCTGTTGCCTCAATGATTGGTCTAAAGAACTTGACAGCGGTAGTCCTGTTGCTGTAATTTATTTTGACTACGTCAAAGTATTTGATAAAGTCCCGACGTTTTTTCAACTTCAGAAGGTATTCGGCCAGTTGTGCAATGAATAAACAACATATTATATAGTTTTGAAAAACACATATATTAGTTATTTTTACATTATTATTCTTAAATTATTAATAAATAACCAGTTTTATACACTTTTCTTATTTACAGTCAGACTGGAGGGAGTCCAAACAGTTCTTTGGCTTCTAAGTACATCACCAGGAAAGATATCATGAGTAGATAGTCATAAGAATCATCTATAAAATACATTTTACAACAAAATGAACAACCCCACTATCATGTAACTTACTTCTTCCAAAGATAACGGATTACTTTTCATTTTCGTATCAATGTTGTGGTACCTCTCATGTGACAAGTGCAAACGAACTAAAGCCATTACGTAATTCTCAGTAGTCAAAATACGGTTTTTGGCAAACCTGAGGACCAAACATTCTAACACTTTATTGCTAACAGTGCACCCAGCCTCCCACAAAAGGGCCCGCAAATGATAACTGGAGGTTTTGCCATTCCCGTGACCACGTTCAAATTTTTGGAACGCCAACTGAAAAATAACGTTATCAAATAAATCCAATTTTTGTTTAAGAAGTACCCTCCAAAATTGAAGCATACGCATCAGCACTGGAATGTCCATTAAGTTGAGACGGCCGCTAATGTTGTAATCTCTCAGCATGATTAAACTCTTACAGAGTTCTAGAGACGGTTTTTCGGACAAGTAAGACTTCCAGTGTGCCCTCAAAATCTTCTGTAATTGACTAGCATCGACTTCTGGGGGAAATTTGGTGAGAAGTTTCGTCACAAGCGTTTTACCTTCCGGCTGTAAAAAATGCAGATTACAATTTATTAAAAACAAAGTAGGGATGAGTACCGTAACTGGAGCATTTTCTTCCATAAATTCGGTGGAAATATTTCTGATTATCATGTTGTCTTCGTTAACCTCCCAGATGTTGCTTTGTTCGTCCGTGAAGACTCTCAAAAGAAACTTTCCGTCCAGGTTGGGGATATTTGTTTGTGGTACGACTATATAATCACCTGGAGGCAGTGTGAAGAATGTTACCACTTCTCTGGCCACTGAGTGGTTAGTTACATCAAGAGGTTTCTAAAATCTGTACGTTTACAACTAGATAGTAGAAAACTTTCACACCTACTTGTTCTGCAACAAAGTGTGGCGTTAGCCTTTGCATAGAATGAGGTACTTCATAAACTGCAAACCCAATCGCATATAAAGGTTTTTTTTTCTTCAAATCCAACACATTTGTTTCGTAGCATTGTGTTATAGAAACCACCACGTGGCATTTGTTGCTCGAAGTTCTAGGTATTTGGACATGAAACTGTGGATTCATTGAAGTAGTTTCAACATAACTAGGACCACCCCCAGCGTTATAACCCGCTCTCCACCTTCTTCTAGCTAAAACCGCCCGCCAAGGTTGCTTGGAATGTAATGCATTTTCCATCATCCAATCATCAGGACCAATATGGACCAAATCCAACTGAGTGAAATGCTTGGAAAAATCTTCAAACGACATCCAGAATTCGCCATCGTTAGCTACTCTCACGCTTAACAGCTCTTTGTCTCTGTTTGATAACCCGTCCCATTCCCATGATCTCTCGCTCCATGGTCCCGTCCATTCTCCCCTGGCCCACGGATTTCTCAGTCTTACCAATGGTGTCTCTCCTTGTGGTCCTCTTACTCTTGCCAAACCCGTGACGCTGTAAGCGTGTTGGGTAATCAACCCATTTCTCAAACGCAGCTGTCTTTTGTTCTCTTTTTCTTGAGTGACAGTGGCTATCAGGAGACTAGATCTAGGAACAGCGCTGTTTAGGACTTGAAATGTTAAGAAGCGGTCTTGGTGAGTGAGGCCGAAACTTTGGACGATGCCTCCTGTGAGGTCTTGAAGGGCTCGAGTAGTAGAACCTTGAGATAAGTTCTCGTAACAGCCGTAAAATCTGTAAGAGAAAATGAACATGAGTAGGTTTAATACTGATTTGAAAGAAAATAAGAACAAAAGAGTAACACTCGGTTTTCATAATATTACAATTAAGATACCGGGGAGTCATATTTCATTTTCTTACAAGGTTGTAACTTCAAGCAGAATGGGCAGTGAATGCGAATCATCGCTAGAGACTAGCTGGTAGAGACTACCAAGAAGATATTCAAGGGGATGGAGAAACCGGGTATCAACGTTACAAGAGGGGAAACTACATTAAAGCAATACGTTATTAGTTTGACCTATAGCCCCTAGAAAACAAACGGTCAGTGTATACATATGTAAATTAGATCATTTTGGAATTCGCGGCCTATCCTCCTTTTGTTTCTTTTTGTTCGCAGGTTTTTCGTCATAGTATACGTTTCGGATCCTGCTAAAGGGTAAGTCTATCTAATGTTCCACAGGGAACGGTGTTGGGTTCATTGTTTTTTGTCTCTACATATCAGATTTATTTTGTCTAATTTCATCATAACATGTCTTTTTTGCTAATTATTGCAAACTGTGTGGCAACCCTGTCTCATTGAATCAAATTTGAATATAGTTTACCACTCGTGATTGACTAATTTCACTGAATAGTGGCAAATGTGAAATAGGGACCAACATAGTTGACATACAAAATGATTTAGACGTTATCATGACATCTATCGACATCTGATTTATTTTGGTCCAGTCCAGTGACGCATATTGTGCGTATTGCTAACAGTGCATCTTATATATAAAGTAGGGTCCACCCAATAGTGAATATTGAGTTTCTGATTCCAAAAGTGCTTAGTGGTAACTCTCCATTAAATTGCTTAGGTTTATAATGGTGATGATTTACAACGCTTGCTTGTTTTTGGGTTGCTTGTCCGAAGGGATCAAAGGTACAATGAATTAAAATTTCACTCTGAGAGAACAAATAACCAACTCGAGATTGCTAACAGTTTGTTCATGTATGAAATTTAAACTTATCTAAGCGTTGAAGCATTTTGAGACAAAGGACCATGAAAATAATATCCTCGTCGACTCGAAAAATGAAGGTTTAATATTTATTTACAGGTTTAATAATATTTTTGCGGCTTGAATTCGAACATTCATTTTCGAGGGCGCAGCGTTTCCGAAACCAGCTTGTTGCGATTTTGATCGTATTGACTGCATGTTTTTTTTTTGTATGTGATATGTGGTGTCGGTCCATGAAGTATTCTGTGAATGCAATTTGACACAATCACGTAAATAAATTCTTTGTTGTTTAAAATTGTTGATAGAGTGTGGCATAATAATTTTGTTTGTTTTCTTTTTTGTAACTGTAATATTTTATTTCTACTTGCTATCGCCAAAATTCAGGAGCCATAAATGCGCGGCAGTGACAGGGTACTTCGCATTAATGTACCTGTAATACTAGATTTCCAATCGTAGTGAACTAAGGGTCTACAAGGCTTCAGTGATGCGAGTGTTTAAAATTCATAGCGCGTTGAGTGGCTCTAATTGGGGCAATAGACCTTCGCGAGGGGGTGCCCCTCGCGCTGCTGTCTATAGGTACTTCGTTTTTCAGGCAAATTTTAAGTTTAAGTTATTTTTAATTCAGATTTTTTTTCATTTAGTGTTTAAATTCAAATATTTCAGTTGATTCATAACATCTGATTTCATTGCCAAAGGCAGGAGAGGACTTGTCAATGGGAGAAGAAATTCGCCTACTTGTTCAGTTGGGATAATTTCACAATTGATTTCGGCTCTCTAGAATGGAGGAATAATAGTACATTATGGAACTAGTGGATGAAGTTGAATTTCAACGGCGAGAGTGATTTTTTCACACGAGCGAGTGCAACGAGCGAGTGCGAAAAAGAAACTCGAGCCGTTGAAATTTCTTCATCCGCGAGTTGCATATACTATTTTTTCTAAGAAATTAGGAAATAAATGTTTGTTTATGGTAGGTATTTTATTTTTGAAATACATTAACTGTAATAGAACAATTTGTGCAATTATCACCAATAATATTTACACTTTTATCGTAAGTATTATTTGAACTTGTATCTTTGTTTAAACTTAGTTGGCTGCTTCCTGTATCAATAACTGCACTTGTATCAGATTCGAAAATGCCGCATTGGCAGCATTCAAAATTTCTTCAGAAACTTCGTCAGTCTCACTCATGTTCATTGTTTTCACTTGTGTAAACTAGCAGTATTAAACGTCAAACACTAACGGGTCGTCCAGCCTAGGCGTCATGATTTTCGAAGCGCGCGAAGCGGACGGTGCGGTCGGTGCAGGCGATACGCGACACGTTTCGCTAGCTGCGAAACGCTCAGGCTGGACGACCCTTTAAAATCGTAGACGGCCGAGTATTTTTCCACTAGAGGGTGAAATGAAATTTCATCCACTGCCAGCGATGGGAAAATGACAAACTTCAACCTTAATGAGTAGAAAAACGATTTTTGTCCTCCATATTTTGTGTTTGGTTTAGGGGCCGTTTTCCAATTTTAGGGTGAATTTTACATTTGAACGCATTCTGCCACAGTTCGATACCAAATTTTGCATTTTTCGCGGGTTTAAACATTTTTTTTACATGTCAAATCATAGCGGGATGTTTCGGGTTATCACAGTGCCCTTGTTTCATACTTTTGGAACAACTGTTTGACCGTTCCCCTGATTTCCCCGCATATCTGCTTCAGACCATGTATAAGTAAGTTAATAGTGATACTGTAATATAGTGCGTTCGAATCAAAGGCAGTGGCAGAGTATGGATGATTAAAGTATGATACATTAAGGAATTCAGAAATACAAGATCAAAAAGAATATAAAAAAAATAAGTAATCATTGTTTGACTGCCCAAGCGTAAGCTACTTTTTTTAATATATAGAAATTTCACGAAATCATATTTTATCATTTTCGACTAATTTTATTTTACAATTCATTCCTCCAATTTGCCACATGTTAAATCTCTGTAGACACAGCAAAAAACCTTCCTATTTTTTAGAAAATGTATAAAATTTTACAAATTAATGAAATTAAAAAAATATTTAGTTCGATTTTTGTTCATGGTACTTCTATTTCCAAATCTACGTTTACCACGTTTTACACATGTTTATTACTGAGATTGAATGAAAGATCCCAGGTATGACAGGTTGTTACAAAACACATATTTCCTAATTTTGGAAAATCAAACAAAATTTACTAAAAAAAGATCTTGCTATAACTTTCTTCGAAAAGTAAACTAACTGTCTTTTTTTTCTTTTTGAAATTTGAAGTTTCTGCAGTGGTATGAATTAATTGACGATCCGGTTCAGTTATTTCCTCAGGTGTGATCACAAATTATGCTGATTATACGGTATTTGAAATAAAAGCAATAAACAACAATGTTTTATAATATTCTTGAGAGTGGAACGGAAAGCCCGTCACTTTACTGACACTCATTACTTTCCAAGCGGACTATGTAAGTAGAAATAATCCCAAAAGTTCATTGGAAAGTTCACGATTTTTCACGATACGGGTCTATTAGAGAAAACTGCGATAAAAGTTTACAAGTAGATTATTATTTATGATGCGGAATATGATGAAAATTATATTCAAAATACATAAAAATGCAATGTCGCAATTACTGAAATACAGTATATAAAACGTAGATTTGAGTTAAAAAAATAAAAGTAATAATAGTAACAATAAATTAAGCAAAAAACTAACTTACTTAGCGTATGCCTTTTCCAATAAAGCTGCCCAAAATTCGGTAGTATTAGAACTGTGTAAATGCACCAAACGGCCCTTGAAGGTCGGCAGTTTATCATCCACAACTACATCTTTCCATTCACCGAAATGCCAGAAGCGGAACCTGTAACAAAAAAAAAAAAAAATCAGTGGGAACTGAACCTAGTAACACGCCACTGGATTTGTTCTCTACGCTTTATCTGGAATTTTTTTTGCGCTGAGGCAAACCATTCCATAAACGCTCAACATTTTATAAAAGTGAGCCAATTACCTACAGCACAAGTTATTTCTCATTGGAATTACAAACGAGATTGAGTTAGACATCAGGACGGTCCAAGCAAAGCTGAGACTGTTACAATGGTAGATATCTCATCATTTTTACCGCGTGCCAAGACTCGATCTTGTCCTGTTCTAAGGACCATTGTCCAGCGAAGGCACGCAGTTGAATGTTTCAGGTGCAGTAATTGACTTATTTATGAGAAAAAGGACGAGCAGTGGTCAGCAGGAGCGCTCAAAGCATAATCGATAAGAGAACAAGTTAACAAGGCAGGTAACAGAGGAAGACATACTCATCCACACATTGACTTCGATTGAAAGAAGTAATTCAAAGATTTCCAATGAAAGCGGCAATCTACACCACAAGAAAACGTCTTCCGCGAAACGCAGCTTAAAATGCCAGCAACGCGGAACTGGAGTACCCGTAAAAGGGGTCCGAGGTCTCATACTTTAAAATGTTAAAGTTTCAATTAAATTTCAGGTACCAGGGTGAGTAAATACTGATAAAATAAGAATTTCATAGGTGTACCGGGAGTAACATAATAAAACACTTGACTTTATTATTGCTCCCTACTGTGTTCTCGGAAAATATAAAAGACAAAAGCTGCAATAGAAAAAAGTTGTATAAATTTTATACAGGCAGCACAGCAAGGACAAGGAGCAATTTGAAATAAAACCCTAAATCCAATTTGAAGTACACCTCTGTTACTTCCAGTTGACTGCCAAGTTAAAATTTGGAAATGCATTTTCTGTCTCTCACAGAAACCCTCGGATAGACAGGATCAAACCGCGTTTCCTGTTTTCAGAATCCACTTTTCATTTCGGCTGAAAAAATCGCACCGTGAGAACGAAACATTAACGGTCGTTCTCGCTACAAATGAGATTAAGATTGTTCGTTTTGCAATCAGTTTTCACGACGTACACACTTCCATCAGATTAGAACTCATTTAGGGTCAAAAACGAGCTCCAATCATCATTGATAAACATTCACCTCCTCCTCCCTCTCAGTCGGCGTTTATAGTTTGCCGCGCAATTACAAAATCGCGTCGTTAATAACGGAATTTATCACGGGATTACATCAGGAATGACATTCAGGAGGCGAAAGCCGCCTAGAGGAATGCAGTGCGGGGGTGCTGGTGCTAAATTAACACCCAACCGTTCCTTAAATAAATCCTGCTGGGCCGGAGGCATCGCTGTCATTCGGCCTCAATCAGCGCCATCTGGTTCAAAATTTAAGATTTCCTGACTTTTAAATTTAGATTATGACATGTACTTGCATTTATTGGCTTCAATTTCGCTCGTAAGTAGGTATTAAAATTACAGTTTTTAAAAGAATTTGCAGCAGGAATATAAAGTGGATGTATTTAGCTTTTACATGATATTGGTGTGTGCCTCACACGTAGTTGCTACGTTCTCCAATTCGTCCACAATTGTGAAATAATCAGTTTGATTTATTTGTTTACTTATTAATTTAATTTTATACTATACTCTTAAAAATTACTAGTGTATTTAACGGGGACGGAGGTCCAAGAAAATCACCAAATATATGCACAGATCTATTATCATCTGCCACATCTGTCGTTTGGATTTCCGTGTTTCGTTCAGTTTGTACTTTTTCGTTTTGGCGTTATTGTGTTATTGCCTTCGTGTGTGAACTAAACTAGAGTCGTACAATTACAATTGTTAAGACAATAGTTCAATAATGAATTAGCTCTGTATTATTATTTTTATTATTTCTGGCCGATAAAGGGCTTTTTTTCTAATATTTCACAAATAAATGTAAAACATTATTTTTACTTTTATCTTGGTAAGTGGGTATTCGCTGTTCCCATAATTAAAAGTGCGCTTCAACACACTACACAGAGGCAGACTCGAATCTTGCCTCGTAGTGTAGGGAAAACTGATACCGTTTAATATGTAGGCTGTCCGTAATGAACCCATAACCGGATGTGTTGAAAAAAAGAAAAAATTGAGGTTAGCCTCATTTTCCGTGCTTGCAACAGTGACAGAAAATGATACTTCAGCACGCAGTATGTGCGACTGCACATCGTCGAAACGTTGTAAAGGAAGTGAAATGAATGATGAACAACACAAATTAAGGCAAATCTTTTCCGAAATCCTTGATATTATGATTAATCAAATACAAATTAGGTTTTCTGGCATAGAAAAATTACACATTTTTGACTTGCTTAAAGTTTCTAAAATTGTGAACTCTTAAAAACGTAATCACGAAATATAATTTTTTTGATATTTAGATATTGGAGGATCTTGTGCCTTGCTTCATCAACTTCTCAACTCATGGCCGCCCTGCCCGATTCCTAAGGACAGACCAAATATAAGCAAGTGTGTTTTCGTACTCTTAAAAACGCAATCACGAAATATAATTTTTTTGATATTTAGATATTGGAGCATCTTATGCCTGGCCTCATAAACTTCTCAACTCATGGCCGCCCTATCCGATTCCTAAGGACAAGTGCGGCCCAGACCAAATATAAGCAAGTGTGTTTTCCTAACATAATGAGTTCGAATCATAGAGAGTGGCGGAATATGGTTGAATAAAGTAAGATAACTTAATGAATTCAGAAAAGCATTTTTAGAATTCTTTTAGAGCTAAAAGAATTCTGAAAAATATATAGTGTCATTAAAAAAAAGTTGAATGTCGCAGACAAAGGCAAAAATATATATATTGCTAAAACACATTATAGAATATCATTGAGCTTCTTACACTGCTACTGGTATTACTTATCTATATTGTTTTAATGTATTGAGGTTATCACAAATAACAAGACTTCGGCATCGCCGAAGTGATGTTCATTGCCGTCCGATCGCTAGCGCTATTGCAGTCGTGGGCTACAACTTCGGGAATTCATAATAACAATGATTACTTTTTCTAGGTTTTCCTCAGTTATACGAGTTTTCCTAGATGTTAAAATGCTTCAAAATTTAAAAATGACTGTTCAACATCACAATTTTCGTGATGATCTTGATCAAATAAACCCATCGGCTTTGACTGCAAATAACAGTTCGCAGAATCTTTTTGTTTTTTAATTTTATTAAATAGCGGGATTTGTTGAACTGTACTTTAGGGGCCAGGGAAGTCCCGTCGAAATAACTTTCGCCCAATTTTTATTGTAAAATTGTAGTCACTTAATTTAACTTCAATAGTAAGATCATGTTTTTTCATATCAGCAAAATACATTCATTATCGAATTTTATTTTCGTAATGGGGTAAAATAGATGAAGTGCGGCAGTACAGTATACCAGACTCTCTTGAAGAATTTCATTCAAAATGAATTTTCTAAAGCTGTTTTTAATTATTATTTAATTTTGTGAAAATGTAAGGAGGAAATACTAAACGTGATCCTGGAATATCAGCAGTAGCGCTTGAAGCTGTTGCAGCTTTATTACCATCAAAATTCCGAGAAAAATATCAGAAGGCCTATAATATTTTCGATTCTTGAAGAACCTCGAGGAAAGTGAGAAATGTCGACGAAGAAGTTATGCTTGCTTTCTTCCATGAAAAGGTTAGTTTTGCCGAATACATTCATTACTCCATGTTAAAAAGCACGGTGAGAGTAAAAGAAAACATGGCAATCGACCACATATAGGAAGGATATACAGAAGAAAGTATAAATAATAAACTGAAAACGTCGCAAATGATTTTTAATCAGACATCTTCGTCATCAGCTATTGAGTGCCAGGCTCCACCAAATACCATCATACTGTCCGCTGAATTACAACCCGTTCCTGCTTGTAGTCATTCGTCACCTTCCGAAGGTCATCAATCATCACTATTCTTTAATGGTTCAAAGTGTTCAAGTATTACATTTTCTAATCTTAACAACTGTAGTTTTAATATTTATTCAAATAAATAATAACTGGATTTGTTATCTTGTTGCTATATAAAGAAATCTAGTCAATTTTCATGGAGTGTCCGAAAAACTTATTTTTTCTGTTCATATTGAGAAAATTTTGAATTTTTACTTCATTTTGGATTGAGAAAATTGACCATTTTTCAATGTATTGAAGAACGAGCACTTTTTTCCACAGCTTTTTTCCAATCAGAACGCGACATTTCCTTTTCTCCACAATTCCTCATTATCACCCCTAATAAAAATTGAACTCGTCCATGCGTTACCCTGGTTATGTTGTGTTTACACGTCATCATTTTTTCAAAAATTAATAATTCTTGATTTTTTTGTCTTTATTTTCTTGATTATTGCATGGGCAGAAAAAGTATAGTGTTAAATTTGTGAGAAATTGGTCATTCCACTCGGATAAGTTCCACCACTCGCCTTTGGCTCCTTCCGGAAACTCTCATCCTCGTGGAATGACCAATTTTCTCACTCGCTGAACAATATGCTATTATATTATCAAAATTATAAGAGGAAAATTAATCCTTATAACCTTTTCAAACGCTACTGGATGATAAATATGCATAATTAATTTATTTTCGTAAATCCTATCAACAAAAGTGCCATAAAGAGTAATCGTAAAAATTACGGCGTTGGAGCACAAAATTGACAAATTAAAGATTTTTATTAATGTCTCTTGCCGATTAATCATGTCAAATAACCAAAAAAATCTGCGTCGTAGAATACAAAGACTAGTATTGGGATTCTCCGGATAACGATAATAATTGGTGAGTTGCAAAATTTCTGAAGTTTTGTACTTATTGGCTAATTTAGACACACCGCAAGTCATGAAAATTAAAAGATGAACAGTACAGAACTAACAACCCATTAACCGATTGAAAGTTTAGGCTTGAAACCTTGTTAATTTTAGAAGATGAAAGTGGGATATCCTTTTAGAAAACGCATTGGAATTCAAGTGACGGCATGGCTATTA